TATTCTTAAATTTTTCCTGACGATAATTCTTCGAAGATAACACTTTTAAACAAAGTACGTAGAGTGAATCAATATCGATAGGCAACAATTTCAGTTTTATTATTAGATCGACAACAGTGCAAAAAAACCATGGAATATCCATAATGGAAGACCCATTCCCTGTAATAATAAGGAGGGAGCTTGATTACATGTCCAAATGACATGAATAAATAAACGGGTGATATTTATTGGATATTTATATTTAAATATTTATTTATGTATTATTTTTGATCAGCATTGTAATTAAATGGTGAATATCAAACCCCAGTAAAAACTGTGTCCAATTAAAAATTAGAAAAAAAAGAGTATAAATGCAAATGATTGCCGTATCGTTTAATTATATGATTAACAAGCATCAAGTTTTCCTACGCAAAGGAAAAATATAATAAAAGAGATACCTTTTTCCACGGCAATTAATTTTCCCTTTCTAGCAAAAAAAAAGCTACATAGTGCTCGATGTTGCTTGCTAACAAACCGGAAATGCGAGCATTTCGATACGTCCGATCGATCGTTTATGGTCTTGTTATAATTTTTGAACAACGCAGTTGGCTGCCGTTTGAAAAATTAGCTCTGTCAATTGAAGTAAACCGGATTACGTTCGATTCCAACTTTCCAACCCATCATTCTCACTCGCCCCATCCCGCGCCATTTCTCTCGAGCAACAGATTGTTGCGAGCTGCAGTTATTTCCGATATAGTAAATGGGAGTTTCCTGCGTAACGATGACGAACGTGAAATTCATAAACGAATTAACAGTTGCGATACTATATATGCGATTACCTAGTTCGAGAAATGAAAAGGGTAATATGATGAATGAGAGTAGTGCCGTGAGTAATAGAACGAGTAGTATGAGTAGGAATATGTGTGGGATAATGAGTAGTAATGTAATAGGTACGTGAGTTGTGATCTGGATAGATGAGGATTATGGTGAACGATACAGTGAGAAATACGAGTAACTGAACCAGTAAGAAAGTGAGTAAAAATAAGAGTAACTGAATGAGTAATAAATTGAGTAGAAACGTGAGTAATCGAGTGAGTAACAAATTGAGTAGAAATATGTCTAACAATGAGTGAGCAACAAGTTGAATAAAAGTACGAGTAACTAAATGAGTAAGAAAGTGAGTAAAAATACGAGTAACTGAATGAGTAATAAATTGAGTAGAAACGTGGGTAATCGAGTGAGTAACAAATTGAGTAGAAATATGAGTAACAATGAGTGAGTAACAAGCTGAGTAGAAGTACGAGTAACTGAATGAGTAAGAAAGTGAGTAAAAATATGAGTTACTAAATGAGTAACAAATTGAGTAGAAACAAAAGTAATCGAATGAGTAACAAATTGAGTAGAAATATGTCTAACAATGAGCGAGTAACAAGCTGAGTAGAAGTACAAGTAACAATAAGTGAGTAACAAGCTGAATAAAAGCACGAGTAATTGAATGAGTAACAAAATGAGTAGAAATATGAGTAATCGAGAGAATAACAAGTTAAGTAGAAATTCGAGTAATATAAGGAATAGGAAACTCAGTAGAAACAGAAGTAATCGAATGAGTAACAAACTAAGTAGAAATACGAGTAATGTAATGAGTAATAAATTGAGTAGGAGTATGAGTAACCGAATGAATAATAAACTGAGTAGAAATACATGTAACTGAAGGAGTAACAAACTGGGTAGAAATATGATTAATATAATGAGTAACAATCGGACTAGAAATACGAGTAATCAAGAGAGTAACAATTTGAATAAAAATAGGAGTAATAGAATGAGTAACAAACTGAGTAGCAATGCAAGTAATAGAATGAGTAACAATCTAAGTAGAAATTCGAGTAATATAATGAATAACAAACTGAGTAGAAATTCAAGTAATAAAATGAGTAACAAACTGAGTAGAAATTCGAGTAATATAATGAGTAACAAACTGAGTAGAAATACGAGTAATCGAATGAGTAACAAACTGAGTAACTGAGTGGAAATACAAGTAGTCAAGTGAGTAACAAATTGAATAGAAATAGAACTAACAGAGTGAATGACAATACAAATAAAAGTACGATTAACAGAATGAGTGATGAACTGAGTATTAACTAACTGAATAGTGACAACCTGAGTAGAAATATGAGTGACAAGTCATACTGGAAGCATAAGTAACTGATTAATAGTACAAGCAGCACTATAAATAACATAGATAATACAATCAATAACGACACAGATTGTATCATATGCACAGGTATAAATAATGTCTTACTTAGTAACGTGATCAGAAATGAATGAACGTTAATAAATAAATGAGTAAGCGACTACTCACATGCTGCATCGGATAAGCACTGCTACCGACAAAGAAGTCCCATGCCCACGCGAATATTCGCGCGCAAATGTGCATCGACGTCACTGCCAGGGTGTAAAGTTTGCTGTTCCCAGCGTCTAGGACACCAGGATCCCCCAGTCCCCGAGTTATGGTGTTTTTATCACTACACTCCCGGTTCAAATTACATTTCCCCGTGAAATTATCGCGCGATACTCATGTTTTCTCGCCATCGACCTTACATTTTGACCTCTGCTTTCTTTCCTTCCACATCCACATCCTTGGATTCTCGGTAATAGAATCTTCCGAGGATACTGTATCCCGTTACAGCAATATCTCCACGGAAGCTATTGTCCTGTAATACGATCGTTTATGGTATCGATACCGATCTCAATGCTTGAAAAGCCAGCACTTTCCGTTGTTCAATTAACGCAACCCAATACGTATCATGTTTAGGTCATGACAATTGTCTGCTGGATATTCTTATCACATTTTGTTCCGGATCGGATCTCGAAGCGACAGGTAGTTCGCCTTCAAGGTCACCGGAGACCTCGATTTCGATTACATAACCGCGAAACGATCGATTATCCAACGATTGCCAGAGATCCTTGTCACTCACCCGACCGGAATAGGACCGGCGAACGTTCGCCCGGAAGAAGAGTAATTACGTTCCTGCCACTCGGCTCACCTCTTCACGGCACTTCGACGAACCTGAGCACTATTTCAAGCTATGATGCTTCTATATACACCAGCTACTTGTTGATTGACACGTACAACTTTCACCTAGCAAGCATCGCAGCTGATCAACAAAGTATCCAACAGGTCCAACTTGCAAGTTTAGCTGATCTCGAGATCCAGACGTTAGACCTAACTTCAAACCCTTTCAAGGACTCAAACACTAATTTGATGGCCACGATCAATGTGGATCTCAGAGTCCAGTGGGCACTAATCACTAACTGTTTAATGAATTGCTAAGTTAGAGGAATGAGATTAACTTGATGTCTGCAAGATCAGTTCTGGAATCCATGAATGGGGCACTGTGGGTGGAGGAAAGCACTTTGCGATGAAATTTGCTGAATCCGTTGAGGAATGAGAATGAGTATAGACCGCAGTACTACACGGAACACTCTCGTCTGAAGGACTGAGCGATACTGACGGAAGAAACGGGCGCGTGCCGCTTGGGAACACACAGGGGATGCGGAACGCATGTCAAAATGAGTATCTGTGGATCCAGGATACACAACCCTTTTGAAGCGGGCCCTGAATTTAACAGGTGGAAAAATATTGGATCGGAATGTACGGAACGTCGTGCAAAAGTGGACGAGATTCGAACGGAATTAGAGATGAAAAATTGAATAGAAGATATTTGCGTTCACAATGAATATTGTGTAAAGAGTCGTATGGAATATTGTTTGCAATTGGAAATGGAATTAGGCGAGTGGAAAAATACCTGACTAGATTTTTTATGATTTGAACAAATTTCTGTATTTTGATATTTTTTATTTGAACACAAATTCAGTATTATATTATAATACTTATATTATAATACTGAATTTAATACATTTATGTATATTTTTGTAATTATATTTAATTTAACTTATTGTGTTATACCTCCGAAAGCGATAGAACTTGAAGAAAATTAAAAATTTTTTTAATTTTCAAGTAATAAATATTAGATATTTATATTTAGTTTATAATTTTCAATTTCATTCAATACATAAAATAATGTAATATTTTTGTCGTTAATCTAAAGACAAATATCTCTACATTTATTCCTAATAATATATACAGTGGTATAAGCAATAATAGAAATTTGAACTTTTGAATTTTTAAATTTTGCCGCCATGACGAAAGCAGTCAGCGCCATTGTGAACGTTTGGCGCCATAAAAGCAATCAAGTGCGGTTATTATTGATCGAAATCAGAGGCAACCAGTTAAAAAATTATGTTAGAGTTAATAAAAAATGATATTGAACGAGTTTTAAACCTATTTTGTCTCATATTGTAGTTAATTAAAGACTGATTACATTTATTGTAAAGAATAGTGGACGGTCATTTTGGAACCTGTTCTACCTTCATTTCGCAAAAAGGTAATTCTATCACTTTCTTGTTAAATATAATAGTATAATTCAACAATATAGTTAAACATTATAATAATATAGTTAAATAGTTACTTACAGTACATTTTGAAGAATTAATTATGCAGGAAAATAAAATATCACTCGCGAGTTACAGAGCGTGCGTTCACTGAAATCAAACACTGTTTCACAACTGCCTTTCAAGATGGCGCTTCGGTGCCTTTCTGGAAAGAACTCGTTCGAACTTTTACCGGTAAATGATCAAACCTTACTTTTTATTCTATTTACGAAGGTATGAAATAATCTTTTATTTTGATTAATATATCTATCTCAAAACAAAATAATTCTCAATATCGTACAAGAGTGCAATAGTTGAACAAAATTTATAACCTGCGTCAAAGTTACAAAAATAATTATGATCCATACATTATGTAACAAAGAAACCTCGGCAAAGTCAAAGTTATTATAAAATCAAAGAACATTCATATTAAAATATAACACTTAAACAAAAATTACAAAATATTCATACATGGAGATTAATTTTTAATTGTATTGTTAGTACATTTTATTTTTATACATGTAGCAATGAATGACAGATCTTTGAATTTTAAATTTAAATTGACACAAGTGTATTTTTGAAAATCAGCTGTTACGGCGCTGCTGTTTCTAACCTCAATTGTCCAACAAGCACGCAACAGTTTTGTCGATATAAAACAGCTGATTGTCGAATCGGTGTTCTGTGGAGCAAAGTGCAGTTATCAGAAAATACGTGTACACTTTGTTCATATATTTCTATATGAAACTGTGTCTGAGTAGTGATTCAAAGTTTAGTTCTACCAAAAATAATGTTGCAATTTCATAAATTTTTTAAGAAAGGAAAGTGTTCTGTTATAGGAATGGTACATGTTAGTGCATTGCCTGGTACAAATTTCTTATTATCTACAATATTATAAAAAGAAAAGTCAAAATTTCAAAACGAATGATGATGCAAGAAAAGAAACTGTACCTGATAAAACTTGTTGATTGTTGTGTTTATCATTGTTTGTTTTCAAATGTCACATAAACAGTTTATCTTTGTTTTTGATACAAAAGAAAATATCAATTATAAATATCATCTACCAAAAACATTGGGTATTTTGCAATAAAAATATGTTATTTAACACAATGTATTTTTAAAGATAAATAATTTCCCCTGTTTGATAATTGATTATTCGCTCCGTTGAACGTGATCTTTAAAGTAGTATTTTTCAGGATCACCTTTATACAATGGTGATACAAAGAAACTGTTAGATAACGCCGTAAAGGATGCATTGATTTATAAACATTGTAATGTTGTAAGTATAATTAGAAAATATATGAATCGTTGATTATGTGACTATCAAGTTTATTGTCTATCAAGGATGGTATCTTGGTGGAAAATATGCATGATATTCCATATGTAAGACCCAAAGATATATCTCCAGAAACCACAGCATTTATGACAAGAATTTGTACAGAAGTTAAGAGAACATTACCTGAAATACCCTGTGGTATACAGGTAAATCACAAAGAATTTATAAAACGAAATATCCTATGAATACTCCATGAAATATTATAAGAAAGCAAACAGATTTTAGCAGGATGTAACAAAGAAGCACTAGCTGTAGCAAAAGCTGCTGATTTGCAGTTCGTGAGAGCAGAAGGATTTGTTTTTTCTCACATTGCAGATGAAGGTTTTACAGATTCATGTGCTGGCTCTTTACTCAGATATAGAAAGCAAATCGATGCAGAGAATGTCCTTATTTTTGTTGATGTTAAAAAAAAGCATAGGTGATTCATTATGCTTTAATAAAGAAACTCGTGTTTTATATTCATTTCTTTATTTTATTAATCTAAGAATTATTACATTTCCATATTCATATAGTTCACATACAATCACTACTGATGTAAGCTTATCAGAAACAGTAAAGGCAGCAGAATTTTTCTTAGCCGATGGAATAATACTGACAGGAACTGCTACCGGTGATCCAACAAATGCAGCTGAGCTTGCAGGTACATACTTTACATTAATTTATCAATAATTTGTGTATTTAAAAATGTGATATTACACAGAAGTGAAACAAATTGCCAAGGGACCCATTCTTGTTGGTTCTGGTGTAACAATAGACAATATAGAAAATTATTTATCATCAGATGCAGTGATTGTAGGATCACATTTTAAAGTTGATGGTACATGGAAAAATGCGATAGATCCCGAGAAAGTAAATAATTTCATGAGAAAATTAGAGAAGGTTCAAAAAATAGTATAAAATATTTTTTTATATTTGAAAATATAATCTGTAAAAAGAATAAATTTTTTTTCAATTTTTGTTAAACAAACCTTCTCGTTACAATAATCAGCGATAATCGAAAATCCAAACGATGACAAAAAAATTAATTGTAAGGTAAAGCGGAAACACAGATAACCGGTTTCAGGAAACCTGTCCTACACAGTGCATGAATAGGCTTTTAATGGTGGGGTGTAAACCCAGACCTTCAACTGAATTTATTATTACGGAGCATTAACCTGTATCCCATAGAAATTTTTAAAGATTGTGGATTTTCGACGTCCTTTGTAACAAGCCGGGAATTTATAAATTTAAATCAGATGTTAAGTCCGAGGGGCGCCATTGTAAATGTCACGTTCCCGCGCGTTTGAAAAAGAGTGCAAGATAATGAAAAGTTTTTGTTAAGAAACGAATCTGTGTTTCAAAATTACTTCAACAGTACAATGCAGTAATTTGGGAAATTTATTAGACAGTTTTGCGTTTTAATTTTTGTCCTTGTCGAATTATTTTAATACCGTTTCTGTACCACGAATATTAAGCTGTAATTGATGTGCTTAGAAATGACAACATATGCCAAGTGTGAGATACTCTAAACATGCCAAATGAAAATGCATTTTCTGTGTTTGCAGTTAGTACCGATAAACATACGCTCACAGCTGATACGATGCACATGGTAAGAAATTGCAAAAGAGCGACCGATATAGACCTACGTAGATATTTCAATGAAAATAAAACTGACAAAAATAAACAACTAGTTAATGATAGGTTATAGGTGATCTCGTTAATGATACGCATTCCTACACTGCGTCTTATCTATTTCTACTATTTCTATTGGCAAAGAATTTTCTTCCGCTTGTGAAACAGGCAACCGTGAAATTTTTGGCATGTTTTCAACAAAATAAAACCCAACTCCATGTAAATTCACAATCGCTCGTGAACGAATATATTATCTCATTCATATATTCATCGCGTGTAGCGCAATAATTCTCAACCCGAAGTAAAAAAAAAAGGGAAGAAGCATGTTTTTATCGTGCCATTGTTTTCGCATTTCGCCGATAGTCATTTATCACTTTACACGCGAAATATACTTGATGGTTTTTATCGAAAAGAGCAGTCAATGACTTAAAATTAATGGCGGGGTACGCGATACTGGGTCGTAGGGAACAAAAAATTTCTCATAATAGCTTGGTTACTGCCGTGCATTGACTCGTATCAATCCAACAGGGAAATGGAGGGATCCCCCAAACAGTATTGACAGGGCTGACTCGCGCAGGCGTCTAGTTGCTGGTTAGACTGCCACTATGCCACTCCGTTTTACAGTGGTCTTCCAACCTCTGTAAAATCCATTTGCCGTCGATTATTATTTATATTCGACCAATTTAGCTCCACAGAACCCTTCTTCAAAATGGAGTCTCTCCAGAATATTATTCCCAATATTTACAACGAATGAAGTTGCCATCATCTTTGAATAAAAATGACATTCCAAGTTTTACTCTAACTATGTTTCATAATACCATAACCTTAGAAGTACCATTACAAATATTTATATTTGATACGTTTGCTATAGACACAAGACTGTTTACGTTCGACAACGCATAGCAACGCGTTAGACATTTTGAGAGACACTGCTACATATGATGCCATCTTGCCACTACGATGTCGCCGAAGTAATGAAACCGCTTCGAGGAAACGCATAGCAACTAGATGGATCAGGTTGACTCCAAAGAACTTTGTCTTCTGGCCAGCTAATATTCGAGGAACGGTTACGGTTTTTCGCGAAGTAACGGAAATTTAATGGACGCCAGGTAAAAAGGAAGTTTTCCAAGTGTCCTAGCATTAACAGCGACCAGCAGCTGTTCGCCCAGCTGAGCGTTCCCCCACCCACGACTCGGTATTCAGCATCGGATCGATGAATCAGCGGGCCCCTCGGTTGATTGTTCAGAAACGCGAGGCGCTCGTTAAATGACGAAATATCGTTGTTACATCGATAGTCGCTAAAAGCAGCCGGCCCGAAGGTCGACGTAAAAATAAAAATCACCGAAAATACTTTTACCGACGCTCTTTGATCGCTGTAATCCACGAAAACGTTCCGCTGAAATGTCTCGATAATGTTTATCGCGTACGATAATATCTGGACATATAAATAACAACAGTCAACTGAACGAAAGCGCTACATATTTTATACGGAGAGCCGTGCATCGCCGCATCGATTTTCCGTTTCCTGCATTTGCAACGACTTCTAAGAAATTATCCGTCGATCAATGAATCGACGAGTAAACACAAAGTTCACGACCGGCACGTCACGATTATTTATATCAAAGGATTACGCGATTTCTGAGATTACGAGATAACAGGACGTGGAAGATCGATGCTAGAGTGGGTGCCAAGTGGTGAGACGGCCCTGGTATTGCTTTAAAAGCCTTCCCCACCAGCAGGGATTCCCCCGCCACTCGGGCATACCCTGCTCGCCCCTCGGCAACGGCTTGACTGCCCAGCCAGCCAGCCAGTCGAAATCAGCTGACGACTATTACTGGGGGCAGTTGCTACCACGGCTCCTCAAACGCAACACTGTTCAGGCGAGTGGATCCTTTTCTTCATATAACTTCTTCCTCTTTCTTTTTTCTGTCACTGTTCTCCTTTCGCGTGCTGCTTCTGTTTCTCTGTCGTGTGAGGGGTCAACGATACGTGGCCCCGCGCCTAGCCCAATATTACGTGACGACAAACGGCATTTGTCAGTCAGGATACAAAACATCGGACTCTTCTGCCTGTTCGTTCCTGTCGTGCTCCGAGGAGGAAGAGAGGGTCGAAGCCTGAGCGAGTGAGTGAATGGGGAGCGAGCGAGAGCGTAGAGTGTCTTTAAACCGACGATTCGTCAAGAGTTCACGAACGGAGTTGTCAAAAGGGGTATGCGTGTTGTCTAAGCTGCGTGAACGACTGATCCGTTCGGGGTGCAGTGGTGCGTGGGCTTTCCGCTTTTAACTATGTGATTACTGCATCGAAGGAAAACTACTCGAAGCTGCCCACTCCGTTTCAAGAAAGAGAATGACAGGGTGAGAGTGTGCGAGAGAGAGCTAGTACACGCGAATTCGAGATCAAGGTCGTTGTCACAGGCAACTTGAACGCGTCCGTGTGCGTGTACACGGAAAACTTGGCTTTTTCGTGACTATGCGCGTAATTCTTACCGTGGCCTGTTGGTACGACGTCCGAACGATCTTACCGACCGAGCCCGCTCCGTTTGTGAAAGTGATTAAAAAGAAAGACAGGAGCGGCCTTGTAAAGCGGTCAGGATCGAAGTGCGATGCTGTAAAACGGTGAACGTGTCGACGCGAGCTAGTGACAGGGTTATACGCCATAGTAGCGTATTCGATCGAAACACGATGCACCAGTGCCAGTGAGTAGAGATAGGATCAAGTTCAATACGAGCGCAGACATCGCGAATCTAAAACGCTTCGCTTCGTAGAACTTGAAGGATAGTCTCGGTATATGACTCTTTTTCATATGGACTTTCACTCGTATACAAACTTCAAGTTGAAGCTTCGAAGTCAGCTGACGACTATTACTGGGGGCAGTTGCTACCACGGCTCCTCAAACGCAACACTGTTCAGGCGAGTGGATCCTTTTCTTCATATAACTTCTTCCTCTTTCTTTTTTCTGTCACTGTTCTCCTTTCGCGTGCTGCTTCTGTTTCTCTGTCGTGTGAGGGGTCAACGATACGTGGCCCCGCGCCTAGCCCAATATTACGTGACGACAAACGGCATTTGTCAGTCAGGATACAAAACATCGGACTCTTCTGCCTGTTCGTTCCTGTCGTGCTCCGAGGAGGAAGAGAGGGTCGAAGCCTGAGCGAGTGAGTGAATGGGGAGCGAGCGAGAGCGTAGAGTGTCTTTAAACCGACGATTCGTCAAGAGTTCACGAACGGAGTTGTCAAAAGGGGTATGCGTGTTGTCTAAGCTGCGTGAACGACTGATCCGTTCGGGGTGCAGTGGTGCGTGGGCTTTCCGCTTTTAACTATGTGATTACTGCATCGAAGGAAAACTACTCGAAGCTGCCCACTCCGTTTCAAGAAAGAGAATGACAGGGTGAGAGTGTGCGAGAGAGAGCTAGTACACGCGAATTCGAGATCAAGGTCGTTGTCACAGGCAACTTGAACGCGTCCGTGTGCGTGTACACGGAAAACTTGGCTTTTTCGTGACTATGCGCGTAATTCTTACCGTGGCCTGTTGGTACGACGTCCGAACGATCTTACCGACCGAGCCCGCTCCGTTTGTGAAAGTGATTAAAAAGAAAGACAGGAGCGGCCTTGTAAAGCGGTCAGGATCGAAGTGCGATGCTGTAAAACGGTGAACGTGTCGACGCGAGCTAGTGACAGGGTTATACGCCATAGTAGCGTATTCGATCGAAACACGATGCACCAGTGCCAGTGAGTAGAGATAGGATCAAGTTCAATACGAGCGCAGACATCGCGAATCTAAAACGCTTCGCTTCGTAGAACTTGAAGGATAGTCTCGGTATATGACTCTTTTTCATATGGACTTTCACTCGTATACAAACTTCAAGTTGAAGCTTCGAAGTCCTGAAACTGCAGAAAAATCCCAAAGTATTCTTCAAAGTAACGCGTCAGGGCCATATAGCGAGATTCTGTACTTGGTCCAAGTTATACTTGAAAGTACTTATCCTTGTACTTGTTAAGATTTGACCAGAACCGCGCTTTTGTATCACGATATTTGCCAACTTTGCAAAGACTACGAGAGTTTCAAAGGTTTCGGGGCCATATAGTGAGATTCTACTCTACTTCGAAGTTGAGTTTCAAGTATTTATCTTTGTACTTGGGAAAGATTTGATTATATCAACAAGTACAGTGTTTTGATGTGACTAGATATTCGCCATCTTTCCAAAGTTCTACGTTCTGAAGGTTTCGGTGCCATATACTGAGATTCTACTGTACTTGGTCGAAGTTGGATTCAAAGTACTTGTACTCGCAAAAGATTTGCCTACATCAACTGCATTTTTATATCACGATGTTCGTAACTTTTCAAAATCCTAACACAAGAGTTCTAAAGGTTTCAGGGCCATATTGTGAGATTCTACCGTACTTGGTCCAAGTTTGATTACACTTGGAAGCACTTATCCTTGTACTTGCAAAAGATGTGACCACATCAACCTCGTTTTTATGTTACGATATTCGTAACTTTTCAAAATCCTAACACAAGAGTTCTAAAGGTTTCAGAGCCATATACTGAGATTCTACTGTACTTAGCCCAAGTTGAATTGTACTTAGAAGTACTTATCCTTGTACTTGCAAAAGATGTGACCACATCAACCTCGTTTTTATATGACGATATTCGTAACTTTTCAAAATCCTAACACAAGAGTTCTAAAGGTTTCAGGGCCATATACTGAAATTCTATTGTACTTAGCCCAAGTTGAATTGTACTTATCCTTATACTTGCAAAAGATGTGACCACATCAACCTCGTTTTTATACCACGATATTCGTAACTTTTCAAAATCCTAACACAAGAGTTCTAAAGGTTTCAGGGCCATATACTGAGATTCTACTGTACTTAGCCCAAGTTGAATTGTACTTAGAAGTACTTATCCTTGTACTTGCAAAAGATGTGACCACATCAACCTCGTTTTTATACCACGATATTCGTAACTTTTCAAAATCCTAACACAAGAGTTCCAAAGGTTTCAGAGCCATATACTGAGATTCTACTGTACTTGATTCAATTTGAACTGTACTTATCCTTAACCTTACAGAAGATTTAACTACATAACCCTTGTTTTTATATCACAATAGTTCGCAACTTTCCAAGATCCTAACGAGAGATCAGGGCCATATATCGAGACTTCACTGTACTTAGCTCTAATTTGATTACGCTGGAACCTTTTTAAAGTACTTGCAAGAGATTTGAGGACATCAGCGTGTTGATATGACAAGATTGGTGGCAATATACTTGGATCCCATCGCTATCCACAGGCACTCGGTAACCGCGGTTGGTTAGAAGTGCAAGGGCAACGTCAGTGGTTGTCTAACCGCGTAACAGACGTCGGTTGTGCAACGTTGGTTCGCGAACGGTCCGCGAGCCAATGCGTCTATTCTTATCCCTGATACTACAACGCGTTCTTTTATCGGCGGATCTCGAACCACGCCATCCGTACTACGCGCCGTTTCTTTTCTCGCTGGCCTCGGCCATTCTCGCGATTTCGATTCGTCGAACGACTTTGTTTACTCGGACGGTAGGAAGCTGACGGGAGTAACTGCGAGATGGAGGAAACGAAGGTGGAGGAGGATGAGTATCGCGTGCTGCTTCTTACCCCTCCGATCAGAGACCGACACTCTGTTTCTCTCTTTGTTTTGCGATCTTCATATTGGCGACACTGTGGCTGGCTCGGTAAGAATATCGCATGCTTAATGGGAACGTCGATCGGGCACGCTCGATTGTTGTTTCGATATCAAACTTTTCTAACGGTGATCGATGAGTCGAGATAGAGCCGTGTTTTGACGTCCATTTTGCAAAAATTCCACTTCCGTTTGCGTTATCTTTATGTTTGTATAACTGTCGGATAATTTCAAAGTTTGTGCGATAAACTTGTTAACTAACCATATTGATTATAGCAATTTGGATTAGGATCAATTATGTGTATCATGCTCTTCGTAATTTAAGGATTCGTATAGAAAATCAAAACTCCGTAACTTCTTCAAAGCCTCAATCTTTTAAGAGACCCAAATGAAACTCAGATTATCTAGAAATTGTTTTCATTGTCTCAAGTACTTCTGGTGGAATAAATAAATTTGTAAACGTATGGCTTACGTTGCAGTCAATGTGCTAAACTAAAATTGTTTCTAACAAAATAAGACTAAAAAATTGCAATATAACTTGTAAATTTTTATTTTGTAGAAAATTATTATATTTATCTACACATCTTTCTCTTCTATTTTAAAATTGAAAATCTTGAAGAAATCTTGACAAAATTATCTTTGATATCTTGTTTGATAAAACAAAGCTTGATCGATGTTCTGAAAGCGTGACTTATGTCACAGATTAGATAAGTTGAGGTTAGACTCAAAGCCCTCGAAGGATCAACATTGTTACATATCTTCTCAATATACCTTTTTATTTAATCACATCAAGTTTTTCACAGAAAATTGAAATTGCTCCTAAATTGGTTTCAAATTAAGTTTAAGGTCGGTTACGACCGGTTTTCAAATTAGTGTTCAGAGGATTATTTTAGGTCGATCAAGTTCAGGGAGAAGACACAGTTAGATAACTGTGTTTCTAAAATAATCGTGAACAGGACTATAAAGTATTTTTGATTGTTATTTTGAAGAGAGATTTATATGAAATATTTTTGAAGACCGATGAAATATAACAGTAACGTTACACGTACCCTTTAAGAGACCTAACCTCAAAATCGACATTCATTACTTTGCATGTATCTTTCAAATTATAATGTTTATAAAAAAATTTTTTTAATGCAAATAGAAGAGGGTAATTAATACTACGAGACTCTTTCAATGAAATTTGGAAAAATTCACGATTTATGAGAATAGAGGAATTCTTACTGAAAACATTTTTATTTCTAACTTTGAGGATGTTGAGATTAGAAAGTACTCTTAGAATTTCTAAACTTAATTTCTATATTTGAAATGTGGAGATTTAAATTTCTGTTTGTGAAATGTAGCAAGCTATTTCTATTAATATTTGAAAATTTAAAGCTTCTAAATTAGTGGATTTGGAAATTTGAAGATTATAAATTTCAATATGTATTTGATAATTTGAGGATTTTTAATTTTTTTATTTGGAAATTTGGAATTTCTAAATTTTTGTGTTTGACAACTTGATACTTATAAATTTTTATATTAAAAAATGTGAAACTTCTAGATTTCTGTATTTAAGGATTTGAATCTCATAAATTTTTATATTTGAACGATTTTATCTTCTAAATTTCTATATTTGAAAATTTATATTTTCTAAATTTCTATGTTAGAAAATTTGAAGCTTCTAAATTTCTATATTTGAAAAATTTTATCTTCTAAATTTCTATATTTGAAAATTTATATTTTCTAAATTTCTATGTTAGAAAATTTGAAACTTCTAAATTTCTATATTTGAAAAATTGTAACTTCTTAATTTCTATATTTGAAAATTTTTATTTTCTAAATTTCTATATTTGAAAATTTGAATCTCCTAAATTTTTATATTTGAAAATTTGTAACTTCTTAATTTCCATATTTGAAAATTTTAATTTTCTAAATTTCTAAATTGGACAATTTCAACCTTACAAATTTCTATATCTAAAAATTGGAAATTTCTAAGTTTTTATATTTGAAAATTTGGCCTTCTAAATTCCTATACTTGAAAATTTGAACCTTCCAAATTTCTACACTTACAAATTTACTCCTTCTAAATTTCTATATTTAAAAAATTCCAATCTTCCAAATTTCCATATCTAAAAACTCAAATTTTCCAAATTTCCACATCTGAAAATTCTTGCTCCCAAATCTCCACCTTCAAAAATTCCAATCTTCCAAATTTCCATATCTAGAAACTCAAATTTTCCAAATTTCCACATCTGAAAATTCTTGCTCCCAAATCTCCACCTTCAAAAATTCCAATCTTCCAAATTTCCACATCTGAAAATTTTTGCTCCCAAATCTCCATCTTAAAAAATTCCAATCTTCCAAATTTCCATATCTAAAACCTCAAATTTTCCAAATTTCCACATCTGAAAATTCTTGTTCCCAAATCTCCACCTTCAAAAATTTCAAAACTTCCAAAGTCCTATATCCAAAACTTCAATCTTTCCAAATCCCTCTACCTAAAAATTCCTACTTCCAACTCTCTCCATCCAAAACTTCAAATCCTCCAAATTCCTATACCCTCTCTCTCCACTCAAAACCTCAGAAACCAATCTGAACCAAACAATTTTTATCTGCATCTAACAGCCTCCGTATACCGTTATTCTCGTATTAGCTCCATGAATTCATTAAAATGAACGGGACTTGTTATTCAAGTTCGACTAAAAAATATTCGTTATCCAAAGTCCGAAAGTTCTGTTCGCAAATTGTCTCGCTCTTCTATTTCGGCCTTCATCGATCAGCCGCGTATTATTAGAAACCTTTGCGAACTTGCTGGGAATTTCGTCATCTTGTGGCTCGTGATCGTGTTCTTCTTTCGATCACTGTTTTCACGTTCCTTTTGACCGGCCGTGTTTTTTGTTCCCCGCGTTCGGTGGACACATTGACCCCGTTTAATCGCTTCTCGGGCAATTTCGTCCGTCATTTCTCGCAGCCGGATGCCAGCGCTCTCGTTGTTATGTAAACTATCATCGTCTACGAGGTTACATAATTTTCGCGATAAAAACGGTTATGTTGCTTTTGGCACTCGCCACCGTTGCATTCATTGATTTCGATCGTTCGAACTTCTCCAACTTTCTTCGCGTAACCTCACTTTTTTTTTTAGTGCTAAGGGTGTTCTGCTCTCAAAATAAACTGAAAATATTATAACAAGTGGAGGTTTGTTTCTGAGAAATTTCGGTTGAGAGATTTAGAATGGTCGAAGGTGTTTATTTTCAGAAGTATTTCGTTTTTCATTTTTTCTGAAATTATTATAGCGATGACTCATTGTATATTTTAATCTATTTTTTATTTTGTTTGATACAATTCTGTGCTTGTTTATTATTTACCATCAGTGTATTTTTTTATTATTTGTCATCGGTTTTATCGTTGTACTTTAATCTATTTGTTATTTTGTTTAATGGAATGTTATTTGACTTATTTATTATTTGCTATCAGTTTCAATGATTGTATACTTTAATCTATTTCTCATTTCATTTAATATATTGTCACTAAACTTGTTCATTATTTGCTATCAGTATTAATTGTTGTATTTTAATCTATTTCTTATTTTATTTAATGAAATGTTATTATTAGACTCTTTTATTTGCTATCAGTTTCAATCATTGTATTTTAATCAATTTCTAATTTTTGTTTAATGAAATGTTACAACACATTATTTGCTCTTCAATTTTAAAATAACATGGATTTACGTTCAACATCACAGTTCCATGACGAAAAGATCTTATCGAATAATTTAATAAATAGGTCACCTATTATATTCTTTTTAATTAATTCTTTCGGAGTTAAATAGCGATATGATATCTAATCTCTGGCAGTACCGTTGTTGAAGATATGATTACGACTATATTAGTTAACGTCGTTAACGTGTTAAACGTTGTCGTTTAAACAAACAGAGCCACGAAGTCTGGAATACTATAAAAAAAACTCGACCGCCTAATCGCCACTCGGATCACCGACGCTATTACTCGTGAGTCACTGCATTTTGCGTTGCAACTAGTTCCACAATAGGAAAGAGCGCTTTTTACCACGATTGTGTGTTAACACATTCCCGTTCATTTTACTCTTTTTTTCCATTACGGAACGTTCCACGTTCGCTTCGAGATTCTCTCGTTACCGTTCCACTTCCGTGAACTTCATTTCGATCGAGATCGTTTCAGAATAGGATTCGAGACATTTTTCTTCAAGTTAATTATTCTAGAGAAAATGTTCACAATTTCTTTTTACGTTCCAAGAAAGTTATGAAGGACGAGTAGTTTGAATTGACCTGTAGGTTTGTTAGAGTTCTTAGGATAGTTAGCTATAGTGTCTTAACTATAGGGTACCTAGAGTTCCCATGGTCCCCAGAGTTTCATTTGTACTCGTTTCTCCATTTTGTTTCTTTCAAAATTCTCATTTAGGGTCATAGGAACAGTTTTGCTTAATAGACATTTGTAAAAGTGCATACAGGTCGGGCCACTTGTGACGCACTTATGACGCACTCTTGATATACTAGTGACGCACTCGTGACGCACTTTTGATATACTAGTGACGCACTCGTAACGCAGTTTTGATATACTAGTGACGCACTCGTGACGCACTTTTGATATACTAGTGACGCACTCGTGACGCACTTTTGATATACTAGTGACGCACTCGTGACGCACTTTTGATATACTAGTGACGCACTCGTGACGCACTTTTGATATACTAGTGACGCACTCGTGACGCACTTTTGATATACTAGTGACGCACTCGTGACGCACTTTTTCTCCACAGTCC